CAATAATAGCCTATGCTGGAGAGGCTGTGGAGTAAGGCGTACCCTCATCCATTGCTGGTGGGAATGAAATCTTGTGCAATCACTTTGGAAATCAGTGTGGCGGTTTCTCAGGAAATTCGGGATCAACCTACCCCAGGATCCAGCAATACCACTCTTGGGAATATACCCAAGAGATGCCATATCATACTACAAAAGCATTTGTTCAACTATGTTCATAACAGTATTATTTGTATACCTGAATACAACCTAGATGCCCTTCATTGGAAGAATGGATGAAGAAAGTGTGGAATATATACATATTAGAGTCCTACTCAGCAGTAAAAAACAATGACATCTTGAATTTTGTATGCAAATGGATGGAAATAGAAAACACTATCCTGAGTGAGGTAACCCAGACCCAAAACAATGAACATGGGATGTACTCAGTCATAATTGGTTTCTAGCCATATTTAAAGGACATTGAGTCTAATGTTTGTGATCATAGGGAAGGTACATAAGAAGGTGAACCCAAAGAAAGACATATAGTTATCCTCCTGGATATTGGAAGTAGACATGATGACTGGGCAAAACTTGACAACTTGGGGGTTGGGGTAGGATGGGTGTAAAGGTATATGGGGTGAGAAATGTGAGAAGGGGAGGATGGGGGAAAGCTTGGGGGAATGGGATGGTTGGGTTAAAGGATGAGTGGATATGGGAGCAGGCAAGTATACATCTTAATTAAGGGAGCCATTTTCGGGTTGACAAAAGACTTGACTTTAGAGGGGTTCCAGGTGTCCATGGAGATGTCACCAGGTACTTCTTTGGGCAGCTGAGGAGAGTGCATCTGAAACGACCCTATCCTTTAGCAATACTGATAAATATCTTGCATATCACCATAGAACCTTCATCTGGCGATGGATGGAGATAGAGACAAAGACCCACATTGGAGCACCGAACTGAGCTCCCAGGATCCAAATGAGGAGACGAAGAAGGGAGAACATGAGCAAGGAAGTCAGGACCGCGAGGGGTGCACCCACCCACTGAGACACTGGGGCTGATCTATTGGGAGCTCATCAAGGAGCTAGACTGGGACTGAAAAACATGGGATCAAACCGGACTCTCTGAACATGGCAGACAATGTGAGCTGAATGAGAAGCCAAGGCCAATGGCACTGGGTTTTGATCGTACTGCATGTACTGGCTTTGTGGGAGCCTAGTCTATTTGGATGCTCACCTTCCTAGACCCTGATGGAGGGGACTTCACACAGGGCAGGAAACCCTGACTGCTCTTTGGACTGGATAGCGAGGGGGAGGGAAGTGGGGGTATGGGAGGGAAATGAGAGGCAGGGAGGTGGTGGAAATTTTTAATAAAAAAAATAAAAATAATAAAAAAATAATTTAAACATTCACTTAAACAATTAAAGTACTAATATTTGAAAAAAAGAAAAAAAACATATGATCATTTCATTAGATGCTGAAAAAGCATTTGACAAAATTTAACATCCCTTTATGATAAATGTTTTGGAGAGGTTAGGGATATAAGGATCATACCTAAATAAAATAAAAGTCATATATAGCAAGCCAACAGCTAGTATCAAATTAAATGCAGAAAAACTCATAGTCATTCCTCTATAATCAGGAACAAGACAAGGCTGTCTACTCTTACCATATCTCTTCCACATAGTTCTTTAAGTTCTAGCAATAGCAATAAGACAACATAAGGAGATCAAGGGGATTCGAATTGGAAAGGAAGAAGTCAAACTTTCATTATTTGCAGATGATATGATAGTGCATATTAGTGACCCCAAAAACTCTACCAAAGAACTCCTACAGCTGAAAAATGCCTTCAGTGATGTGGCAAATTACAAGATCAACTCAAAAAATTCAGTAGCCCTCCTATACACAAAGGATAGAGAAGCAGAGAGTGAAATCAGAGAAACTTCTCCTTTTACGATAGCCCCAAATAGTATCCTGGGGTAACACTAGCCAAGGAAGTGAAAGATCTATTTGGCAAGAAATTTAAGGCATTGAAGAAAGAAATTGAAGACGACACCAGAAAATGGAAGGATCTCCCATGCTCTTGGATGGGTAGAATCAACCTAGTAAAAATGGCAATTCTACCAAAGGCAATCTATAAATCCAATGCAATCCCCATTAAAATCCCAACAAAATTCTTCACAGACCTTGAAAGAACAATAATCAACTTCATATGGAAATAAAACCCAGGATAGTCAAAACAATCTTATACAATAAAGAAATTTCTGGAGGCATTACCATCCCTGACTTCAAACTCTATTACAGAGCTACAGTAATGAAAACAGATTGGTATTGGCATAAAAACAGAGAAGTCAACAAATAGAATCAAATAGAAGATCTGTATATTAACCCACAAACCTATGAACTCCTGATTTTTGACAAGTGAGCTAAAGGTATACAATGGAAGAAAGAAAGCATCTTTAGCAAGTGGTGCTGGCATAACTCAATGTCAACCTGTAGAAGAATAAAAATATATCCATATCTATCACCATGCACAATATTCACTTCCAAATGGATTAAAGACATCAGTATTAATTTGAGCACACTGAACCTGACAGAAGAGAAAGTTGGAAGTAGACTGAAACACATGGGTGCAGGAGACCACCTCCTACTATTACCCCAGTAGCACAGACAAGAGCAACAATGAATAAATGGGAATTCCTGAGAGTGAGAAGCTTCTGTAAAGCAAAGGACATTGTCATTAAGATAAAAAGGCATCCTACTGAATAGGAAAAGATCTTCACCAACCCCACATCTGACACATTTGATCTCCAAAATATATAAAATAGAAGAAACTGGACATGACAATTCTAATTAACTCAATTAAAAATTGGAGTACTGAACTGAAAAGAGAATTCTCATCAGATGAAATTCTAATGGCTAAAAGACACTTAAGGTCATGTTCAACCTCCTTAGCGATCAGGGAAATGCAAATCAAAACAGTTTTGAGATACCATCTTACACATGTCAGAATGGCTAAAATAAAAAAAAAACACCAATGATAGCCTATGATGCAGAGGATGTACAGTAAAGGGGACACTCATCTATTGTTGGTGGGAATGCAAACTTTTGTAACCACTTTGGAAATCAGTGTGCAGGTTTCTCAGGAACTTGGGAATCAATCTACCTCAAGATCCAGTGATACCACTTTAGGGAATATACCCAAGAGATGCCCAATCATACTACAAGGGCATTTCTTCAACTATGTTCATAGCAGCATTGTTTGTAATAGCCAGAACCTGGAAACAACCTAGATGCCCTTCAATGGAAGAATGGATGAAGAACGTGTGGAATATATATATTAGAGTACTACTCAGTGGTAAAAAACAATGACATCTTGAATTTTGCATGCAAATGGATGGAAATAGAAAACACTATCCTGAGTGAGGTAACCCAGACCCAAAACAATGAACATGGGATGTACTCAGTCATAATTGGTTTCTAGCCATATATAAGGACATTGAGCCTATAATTTGTGAACCCAAGAAGGTGAACCCTAAGAAAAAGATATAGTCATCCTCCTGGATACTGGAATTAAACAAGATTGCGGGCAAAAATTGGGAAATTGGGGGCAGGTTGGGATGGGGGTAAGGGGAAATGGGGAGAGAAAAGTGAGAAGGGGAGGATGGGGGGAGCATGGGGGAATGGGATGATTGGGATAAAGGAAGGGTGGATATGGGAGCAGGGAAGAAGATATCTACATTAAAGTAGCCAATTTAGGGTTGGCAAGAGACTTGGCTCTAGCGGGGATATCCCCAGCTAGATTCTTGGGCAGCAGAGTAGAGGGTGCCTGAAATGGCCTTGCCCCACTCTCACACTGATGATCATCTCGATTATCACCATAGAATCTTCATCCAGCGAGGATGGAGATAGAGACAGAGATTCTCATAAGAGCAACATACTGAATCCCCAAGGTCTAGTAGAAGAGCAGAAGGAGGGAGAAGATGAGCAAGGAAGTTTGGACTGCAAGGGGTTGGTCTACCCACTGAGGCAGTGTGCCTGTTCTAATGCCAGCTCATCAAATCCAGCTGGACCGGGACTGAATGAGTATGCAATCAAACTGGACTGTCAGAATGTGGCTGACAATGGGGGCTGACTGAGAAGACAATGATAAAGGCACTGGGATTGTTTTCTACTACATGTACTGGCTTTTTGGGACCCTAGTCTATTTTTTTTTTTTTTTTTTGGTTTTTTCGAGACAGGGTTTCTCTGTGGCTTTGGAGCCTGTCCTGGAACTAGCTCTGTAGACCAGGCTGGCCTCAAACTCCCAGAGATCCGCCTGCCTCTGCCTCCCGAGTGCTGGGATTAAAGGCGTGCGCCACCACCACCGCCCGGCAACCACCTAGTCTATTTGGATGCAAAGCTTGCTAGGCCTGGATATAGGGAGGAAGGGCCTTGGACTTCCCACAGTGCAGGATTCCTAGCATTCTCTTAAGGAGGGAGGGGGAGGGAGGAAGGTGAGTGGGGGAGCTGGAGGGGAATGGGAGGAGGAGAGGAAGCATAAATTTTTGAATGGAAAAAAATTAAGAATTGAAAAAATATATTGTACAGTTTGTATAAATCTATAAATATGGAAACTACTTTGTATTCAAGATTTCTTCAATAACTCTAAAGTATGTACAGTGAAAGTTCTAAATAAGACATGAAACAGTGAATCTCAGCTCTCATCTCCATGGGGTCAAGAGTATACTATACACTGCCGATTCAAACTGTGACTTTCAACAATTATAAGAACATGAAATCAACTGTTTTCTTTTATCCATGTTGTGATTTTTCTCTGGGTAGTAGTACACTTAAGGAAGATTATTTGCCTTGTTAAAGTCATTGTAGTCTATATATTTTGGAGCCAAACCTGAAGAGAATTGAGGGACAAGAGCCTTTTAGATCTCTTCATTCTAGTTTTTACTGTAAATCACAAGACTTTCTGCATCTGTAAAATTTGTAGAAGGTGGAGTTACCACCAGAAGCAGATGGAGCAGCCCAGCTTTAGATTTCTTTTTCCCTGGTGGTTTTTGCTATGGTCTGTATCACTGTGGGATGCCAGCTGTAATCATGCTGACAGTAATAAACTGCAATATCTTCAGGCTCCAAATTGTTGATGCTGAGGGTGAAATCTGTCCCCAATACACTGCCACTGAACCTGGAGGGTATCCCAGAGATGGACTGGGAAGCATACTTGATGAGAAGCTTTGGAGCCTCATTTGTCTTTTTCTGATACCAGTGTAAGTTACTGTTAATACCCTGGCTTGCCCTGCAGGTCAGAATGACTTTATCTCCTGGAATCACAGACAGGGTGGCTGGAGACTGAGTCAGCACAATGTCACCTCTAGAGGCTGAAAACATAAAAGAAATATCAGTAGAACATGGTGTTACATGAAAGTCATTTTTTAACTACTTATGAAAGAAATAATCATTTTATTGCCTCAGTTTATTTAAAAGAAAATCACATTCCATGTGATGTTGTGCTTCATAATGATATAAGAAAATAATGTATTTTATTAAAATATCTACTTTTTGGTCCTATCTGAAGACTTACCTGAAACACAGAAGAGCAGAAGCTGAAGAAACTGAGATGTGGACACCATCTTGGGTTTAAGGGTGTCATGTCACAGCCCAGAGAAAGACCTGCTTATATTTTAAGTAGCAGCAACGATAGGAAAAAAGGACTTATGCAAATGATACCGACTTCATATTGATTCCAATAAAGAACTGCTCAGGAGAGCAAGCTCCTTGTGTCCTTTTTAATTCTATCTCCCCATTCTGGTTACTAGAGAAGTTAAGATTTAAAAGTAACTTTTACTGATATCCCACTATAGGGTTGCAAAATTAACACTTTCTATGGAAGTCTCTTGGGTAAAGTCAGAAATTTGAAAGAAAAAGCATTTCATATTCATGACCATGATCTAGACTTATATTTTCCTTTCTAATGTTATTTATAATATGGGCTGAAGCACTTTTTAAATTGATTTTATTAAGTTATACATTTTTCTCTGCTCCCCTCCTTCCTTCTCACCTCCCCTTCAACCCTCTCCCAAGGTCCCCATGCTCCCAATTTATTCAGGAGATCTTCTTTTTCTACTTCCCATGTAGATTAGATCTTAGGGTCCTCATTGTTGTTAAGGTTCTCTGGGATTGTGATTTGTGGACTGGTTTTTTCTGCTTTATGTTTAAAAACCACTTATGAGTGAGTACATGTGATAATTGTCTTTCTGGGTCTGGGTTTCTTCACTCAAAATGATGTTTTCTAGCTCCATTCATCTACCTGCAAAATTTAAGATGTTATTTTTTCAGCTGTGTAGTACTCCATTGTGTAAATGCACCACGTTTTCCTTATCCATTCTTCTGTCGATGGACATTTAGGTTGTTTTCAGGTTCTGGCTACGACAAACTGCTGCTATGAACATAGTTGAGCGCATTTCCTTGTATATATAAAAAAGAACCCCCCCCCCAAAAAAAAAAACTGCCTTGAAGTGGTTAAAACCAACCCTGGAAATCAGAATGTAAAACTTACCCTGGAAGTAAAGAAAATTATCTCAAAGCAGCTACCCCTAATGAAAGCAGCTGGTAGACCTAAATACTCTGTGGTCTCTTTGAGGTTTTTGTCACATGGTGAATCATTGTGGATGACCAACCACTCATTGACTGACAGTAGTAACTGGCAGCATCCTCAGGTTCCAGATTGCTGATGGTAAGAGTAAAGTCTGTCCCAGACCCACTGCCACTGAACCGGGCTGGGACATCACTGGCCTTGGTAGATGCACCATAAATAAGGAGCTTGGGAACCTGCATTGGTTTCTGTTGGTACCAGGATAAGTAGCTACCAACACTCTGAATGGATCTGCATGTCAGGGTTGCTGTTCACCTTGAGAAAAACTCAGGGAGGCAGGAAACTGTGTCATAGTTTGTCCAGTGACATCTGAGATTTGAAAGAAAAAGAAAGTCACCTCTGCAGTATAGCCCACACCAATAATCTTCTTGGCAAACCTATGATCTCTTCCCTTTGATTAGATTCTTGGCAATAAAATTCAATAATGCTCAGTCAGAGACTTTTTGTAGATACATAAAGTTGTGTGTTTTCTTCTCACCTGAGATCCATAGCAATAGGAGACAGAGAGGCAAGACAGGGGTTTCCATAGCTAACTCTGTTTTCCTCTCTGAAGGAGATCGGACTTCAGAGCCCCGAGTCACTGTTATGAACTCTAGACAGAAGAAGACTCAGGGAGGGGATGCAAAGCAGTAGGGTAGGGATGGGCTGGGCCTCCACAAACAGAGGTTTTCTTCATTTTTCTCTGTTCATAAGCAACTTATTCCCACAGGGTCAAATTAAGAAAAGATATTGGCTCAGTTTGAGGATAGAATTTCACTCTTGAATTCACAAAATTTATCCTGTTAAATAATCATACTACCCTTTCTCCTTAGGCCCAGCCATATGGGATTTGCTATAAGCCTAATGTAAGAATAAAGTCAGTGGTTCCACAGTTCACAAACACTAACATACGTAGACACCCCCTTCAGTGCATGGTCATCAAGTGGAAAGAGTTGACCACATTTATTTCTGTTTCACATTTATTTTCTTGCCTCAGCATCTATGGAGGCACCATATTGTTACAATGATTCAAAATTGAAGTATTCAAGTTAGATGAACAATTTTTGTTCAAGAAACACTTCAGCTGTACAGATGAACACAACATGGATTATGACTTTTCCTTAGGAGAAATGTGTATTCTATCCAGTTAACTGGGGTCTTTCTGCTGAGTTATTTGCTTTCTAGGCAGTGCATTTTCATGATGCACATATAAAAGCTGTCTCAAGCCCTTGTATCTTAAAATTATTTCAAAATTGTGAATAGTTTTACACACACACACACACACACCTGAGCTAAGAGGAATCAGTTTTCAGTTTTTGTTTTTCAGAATAAAGAATATAAGATGCATGAGGTGCATGAAGTGCATGATGTGGTGAGTGTTTGCTACACTGGTGAATTATTTTCTCAAGCTTGCATTCCACAATTAATCACTACCACTTCAGCAATCCTTAGGTTCCCATCTTAACTCCTTTGCCTACCCCTTGTCCTAGACATATAATGAAATAGTTTTGTAATGGAACTCCAAATTCCAAGGAAATCTCCATAAATTCTAGAAGTGTTTAATCCACAGTTGGATATTATCATTTCAATGTTGTTGACATATTTTCAAGTCTGAAGTCAAAACAAGGTTAGTTACAGATAATGCAACAATGGTTAACTGATTCTCATTTTACTTTCCATATCAGTAGTATTGAAAATAACAATATTTTAATATTATTAGGTATTTAATATAATGTACTAACATATAAATTTCAGTACATAGATTGAATATGTCTTGTTCAACATTATATTTGCCTCTAAATTTGTTTTTCAACCAACAGAGTAATCAAGAAAATTTTCTTAAAGATTTTGAAATCATTTGTACCTACTACCCTTGCCTCCTCAATGCATCAGGTACAGGGCTAAAGGGTGAGGCAGTCTGAATATGCAGTGGGAGATACCTCTGGATTCAAGAGCAGAACTAATAACAAATTTTACTTCTACTTGACGTTCTGACTAATAAATGCCAGAAGTGAAATATTGTAGTTTCGACTCTCTATCTTTCTGTTAAAACAATCAAAACTTGGAGTATGCTGATGGGCCTCTCCTTTGTTAGGTAGAACTTTGAAGTCATAATTCAGGTTCTTGCATTAAACATATTGAAAGAGGAAGTCCCCTGTTTGTCCTGTTTCTGATGAGAAAGAGAAAAACAAGTTGCAGTACAAAGCTTTAGTGAGGCTTTACACTTTTTGCCTTTAAGACTCCCATTCAATATTCAACTAAAGATGCTACAGATAGTTAAAGGGATGTGTGTGTAGAAATTCGAGTGTAAAGATTCGAGGGGTAAGAAATCTACTTATAACAGGAATTGTTTGTTCATGTTTATTCTTTTCTCTCTTTAGTCCAACTTTCTCATTGTGCCACCCATTATTTGTTCTCCTTATTCCACATTGTTTTTAGTTCTTCCTTGTCCTCCTCATTACAAATGTTATCAGTCTATATAAGTCTATATACGCTTAAACCCACCAGTTCCCCAGCCCTAGCAGGTTACAAGGTTACAGGGCTGGAATTCTTTTGTCCGAGAGAGAGAGAGAGAGAGAGAGAGAGAGAGAGAGAGAGAGACCCATGGGAGTGGCTAGTACACATTCTGTGTACTCCTTAGTGGGAAAAGATAGTTAAGAAAGGGAATTAAATCATTATGGAATTCTAGAGGGGAAGGTTAATGTGTTACACTTCATTTTTAGGTGGTTAGTAAAGAGCTAAGGAGTTTATTTTCAGTAAAATTATGAATAGGGCATGGATTGTTTGAATCAGTGCACCACTTATTTTCTCTCAGTATGCAAAGAGGTTGCGAGGTAACTAGGCCATCTAGGGGAAGCTAATGTCTCTTGATCAGATAGCATATACACTGTACACTGTAATTTCTGTGGAGCTAGGTCTGGAGTTAGACTTACTGCTCTAAGCAAAGAAGAGACTGAGGATTCTAAATTATCAGTTCCAGGCTATGCTGTTATCAGCCATTCTGATTGTGAGTGTTGTGGGGTAAAACCAGAGCAGTAGCTTAGGCAACTAGTAAGCCTTGGAGATCTGTGAATACCTTAAGTGGGATGCTCTATGCCTCAACCCAAATGCTTGCTGATAAGGATAACTGCAGGAAGCAGATCTCTGTGCTTACCTAAATGAGAGGAACAAGGTCTAGCAGTGTGAAACTATTTTCACACGTAGCCCAAAGGCATAGGAAACAGTTGTGAATTAGGAAACTAATTCCCAAATATATAGCAGAAAGGGAGTTAACTATAGCGAAAAAACTACAACAAAGGACAGCTACTTTATTCACAAAGCAATAACACAAAAAAGAAGCCTTGCCTTTTGGTTTAGCCTTTACCAGATCCCTTAAATCTGATAGGTCTCTCATGAAAAGATAGCTGAGCAATTACTGTTTAATGTTGTGGCTTGTAGCACAAAGAAGCCTCCCTAGAACTTCTTCCCAAACCACTCTGTGATCTCCAGAGTCTGGTTGCACCAGAGAAAACTTGTAAGAAGCTACATACTGTCACTGCTAGATGTCACTGTTTGGTGCAAGTACCTCAAACATCTGCATCCCTGGGTAGTTTTTGTTATGCTTTGTAGCACTGTGGAGGGTAACTGTAACACTGTTGACAATAGTAAATTCCAGAGTCTTCAGGCTCCAGGCTGATGATAGTGAGCAAATATTCTGTTCCAGATCCACTGCCACTGAACCTCTTTGGAACACCAGCGAGTAAATTGGATGCATAATAGATCAGAAACTTGGGACTTTCCCCAGGTTTCTGCTGGTACCAGCCTAAATATCTACCAATGTCTTGACTGGCCTGACAAGTGATGGTGACAGTGTCTCCTATAAAGGCAGACAGAGAAACTGGACTTTGGGTCATGTGAATGTCACATTGAACACCTGAAATCAGAAATATAAATAAGGATATACGTGGAATTAATGATTTCATTAAGTGCTTTCCTAAATACCTAGGCTGCAGCAACTGT